GAAAGAAATCAGGGTAAGCCTGTACGAGGTGAGCATTGCTGCTGGTGTGGCTGGGGGGGGAGTGTGCACTTGTTTTGCCACAACCAGGAAAGCAGGGTGGGAAATGACATCTCCTGTCTCATGATACAGCAATTACAAGCACAGAGTCTAATGAACTGATACCACAAACAGCAAGAAAGAGAAGAGAAAGCAAATAAGGATAACTTTATGGGAGTTGGTTTTGTTTGGATTTTTAACCCTTTCTTTTGCCTTATTGTTGTGATAAGCAGTCATCCTCTCCCCAAAACACTAACAGATTCAATCCAGCCATCAGACCAAAACTGCAGGAGCTTGGCAGAGCTGGTTTGCTGATGCCTTCCTGTGCTTTTACTACAATGATAAGAGAGCTTGAAAATACCGCAGTCCAAGTTTCTCTGGACAAAGAGAGCTCCTGCACGCACAGATGTATCTCAAAGTATGAAGCTCCCTTGGAGAATGCTGGACAAAGCTCAGCACAAGTGAAAAAGAGAACATATATCTGATACTTGCTATTGTAGGGCTGTATTTAGTTCTTTTTGGCTATTAAGAAATAGAACTACACTGGTCAATCGAGGAGGCTGTGAGAAAAGTCGTCATTAGCAATGGTGTACAACCATTCATTTTTTAATGTATAGGATTTGTATTGCAAATCCAGACCATCTTATTCTTATACACATTGGGAAGATTAATGTTATGGTAATTCAATACAGTTAAGAGAACTCACTGGCTCCTTACTTACTAATATATTCCTTGAGATCCAAACCTGATACACAAAGGCTCCTTCTGGTGGACTTCAGCAGCATTATTTAAGACATGAGATGGAGCAGCTGCAAATCACCAAACCAAGTGTCCTGGATTGCACTGAAAACCTTAGAGAAGGTGGCAAGACCATACAGGTACAGAACAGTGTAGAAACGGTCCCTGTCTAAAGGAAGAAAACCAAGTTGTAGCAGAGGGAATTACACCTCTGTGAGCACAAGAACAGGATAGAGAGATGGGGAAAGAGTAGCAAATTCATTGCAGGGGAAAAGCTAACCCTGTTCTTTGCCCTTTGCAAAGCTGCAAAGTCTTTGTACTTGTCTCTCGCTAGGCAGGCAGGGGTAGAAGGCTATGGTGTTCTCTTTGTACGCGTGTTGAACATTTTCCTTTCTTCCCTTGGTCTTTGGGAGAATTGTGTTGAGACATCTCAGGTCTGATCTTAAAGCCATGGAAGAACCCCCCTCATTTCTTAGGGAACTGATGGGCTTTATTTTTAAAGTGGAGCAGGGCTACTGTGGAGCTCTGACCTTTTTTCGGTTTCTGCCGCTGCTTATCCAAGGCTTCATTGCTGCAGGGCAGTGCCCTTTGGTTTTGTCATGGATACCCGTGTACTGGTTATTGCAACAACAGTAGATGAAACATCCCTCTTAGAAGCAGTTAAATAAGTTAGCTGGAGAGCGAGGGACTTAGTGTGGGAACTGCTTGGTTTGTTGGTTTTACTAATGCTCAGTCTGGATGCTGGCCACCAGCTAGGCTGTGAACACAACTGGAGCTGGGAGATCTTGAGGGAAGCTGCACTCAGTGGCATTTGGTTTAGGTTATAGCAGGAAATTCTGCATCTGGGCCCTTTGTCTCACATTATTTGCTTTGATGCCCTGCACACACCATGACCATTACTTAACTCAGAGCTGCTGCTGCAGCAAGAATTAAAAAATAAGAATTCTTCCTCTTTGGGCCACTTGTAACTTATTTAAGTAGAGGATGTTCCTAATCAGGACTGCTCTTTGAATAGGACTTTGCTTCAGTAGGAATCTTCCAATAGGACTATTTCCTCTTCTGAAAAATTTCAGAACTGGGGATGCTGAGTAAGCAAAAAATTTCAGGCATTAATAATAATTATTCTTTTTCTTTTTTTTTTTTCCAAATGTTTATCGAACTGTTAAGAAAACACCAGAAGGTTCCTAACAATCTCTGCCAGAGCTGTCAGGGCCAAATCCCATGACCTTTTCATGGGATCACATGTGACACTGGTAGCACAAACTGAGCAGAAACTGTCACTCCAACCAGGGAATAATCAGGACACAGAAGAACATTAAAGAAGACATCTCAGCTCTGGGACATACAATATATTTGTATGGGCATAACAAACTGTCATGGTTTAAACCCAGTCAGGTAACTCGTTCACTCACTTCCCCCCTTCATTCCCTCCCCCTACTCCCAGAGGGATGGAGAGGAGAATCGAAAAGAATGCAACTCCCACGGGTTGAGATAAGAACAGTTTAATAACTAAGGTATAACACAAATCACTACTGCTACCACCAATGATAATAATGATAAAGGAAATAACAAGGGAAGAGAATACAACACCTCAGCACCAGCCGACCGATAACTCCCCCCCCTCAGCCCGACCAAGCTCTGACCGATACCTCCTCCAACCCTGCCATCTACCAGCCCCTTCCGGCTAACTCCCAGTTACATCCTGGGCATGACGTGCTGTGGTGTGGAATACCTCTTTGGTCAGTTTGGGTCAGGTGTCCTGTCTCTGCTTCCTCCTGGCTTCCCTTCCTCCCTGGCAGAGCATGAGGCTCACAAAGTCCTTGGCCAAACCAAAACATCACTATCAGTTCTGTTCCCAGGCCGAAAGTCAAAACACTGCACTGCACCAGCTACCAAGAAGGAGAAACATGACTGCTACTGCTGAAGCCAGGACACAAACACACTTACCAGCTAAAGAAAAGTGAATTCAGAGCTGGAGAACATTGATAGCACCAGGGCAGACCTCAGGTGGGCCCTTTCTGTCCAGCTTCCCAATAGGTGAGCGTACCCAAGTCTCATCCATCTGGATTGCCTTCTTAACCTGGTACTTTCCTCTTCTCCAGGCTGCTGTATTTTAGACCTTACTAATATAGACTCTTCTACCTTGTCACATCCAATGAAATAAACAAGCCATCTACTCTGATGTTACCCTTCCAATTTCTGACACTTTTAGAAGGTATTTAATGCCTGCAATGAACCTGGCCAAGTGCAGAATGCCATACACCAAAAAACCAGATGATCAGCATGGTATGTAATTAACTTCTTTAAAGGTTTAGTTAGAAACTGTTAGAGCCTTCCAGTTGCCATGTCCACTCTATTCAAACACAAGGCATCAAAAGATTCGTTGCAGTGGCTCTGAACAGGAAATGTACACAAATGAACTGTAAAGACATCAAAACAACAGATCAGCACTGGATACAAAAGCTTTATCCATGGAGCCTGGAAGGGTATTTAAAAACAGTTACCTGGACTGAAATCCAGTCAGAATGATTGCAGCTTCTACATGAAAGGCCTAAAATGTGGCTTTTACAAAGAACTCAGTTACTGCATGGCCACAGAAGGGCACAGTCGCAGCCTGCAAGGGTCGAAGCTTGCTTGGGTGATGCCAGTCCTGTTCCTTACAGCACAACACCCACATCCAGTCAGCTGGAGCATTGCAGTCATTGCTGGTGGGGAAAGGCCATTGATAGCTCAACAGGCAATTGCCAGCAACATGATGTCCCCAGCATTGCAGCAGGACAATGACATCAGCTGAACATGATGGCTGAAACAAAGGCAGGCTGTTTCCTGCTAAATCACATGGACCAGTTACTACACCATGCTTTTAGTTAGTGGAAAAGCACATAGAGAAGAGCAGAAGGAAGTAAAAAGGGGATGTATCACATGCAGTCTCACAAAGACAAAAGGCTGATAGATCAGCCGATCTGTATTTTTGAAGTCAAGCTCACAAGTGAAGCGTACGGATTGGTAGTAAATCAGGGAATCCATTCTGTTTCTTGGATGGTTTCCCTTTTGCCAAGGCCAGTCCTACCTCAAAGGACGTTCTCATCAGCCTATCAAAAGAAAAAACAACTCTTGCCTCCTTACCAGAAGGGCAGCTTTGACAGCACTACCGTGAAGTAATGGACATCCACAACGGATATCTAGTAAGAACAAGACAGTAGCAAGCAGGTTCTCAGATGACTCCGTGACAGGAATGCTACTATTGGTGAACTTTTCTGTGGGCCAAGCCATTTTCAGAATGGTTTGCAGAGTTCAATCATCTTTTCTTTCATTTCCCCACCACTGCTGGCAGGACCACCAAAGAAAGGTGTTCAGGTGATAAACTGGATGCCATTGTAAAAGACACAGATCAGTATTATAGGATGACTTCAACTACATCGCACAGCCTATGGCTGAACAAAAGCTCGACAGGAGAAGGCTTCAGTGGAAAGGTTTTGCTAAGCTGTTTTCTCTTAACAGGTATTTCCCATCTGTGGTTTTGTGAAAGCTGCAACAGTCCAGTGAGTGTGTTTCTGAAATGCTACTTGCTAATGTTTGAAGTCTGACAGCATGCGGCAGATGTAAAAGCTGTTCCTTACAAATCTATAGGTACTGTTCCAGAAATTAAAAGTTAATGCATGAACAATCAATTCCTGTCTGCATCCCTGCTGCTGCAGACCATGAATGAACGTTACACAGGAAAAGAAGATCTCCAGGGAAAAAAGAGCCAGGTATCTGCAGAAAACAACTACCTGTTAGTAAGTGATACCTGTCCTTTTGAGTCTATATAAATCTCACCCTGTGGTACAGCAGGAGCATGGCAGACAGCTGTCCTTCCAGAGAAAAAGGATTGTATTTTAAGCCTGGTTTTAGTCATTTGAGTATAGTTTGAGGTACTGCATTATCTCTGCACTTCACCAAGTACAATGTTCATGGTCTATTCTAAACAAAATACATCTCCCTTTGTTGTAGATTAGTTGTATTGCAGACTGCCAGAAGAAGGTGATTGAACTGGTTGACAGTGGCTCAGAAAAGGACCTCTGAACTTACACCCTTCTGGGAGATGGCACAAATGTGATGAAGTACCTTGGGAGGGTTTGGAGAAAATCCGTTACTTGAGTTTTGCTTCATGGCTTCCCAGGAACTGAACTTTATTGTTCTCCTTATCTGGTCCAGCAAAGCAAAGAATGCAGCACTAATGACCCGCATTTAAGAAACTTTAATGACAGAAAGCATTCAATATCAAACTACAAAGTTTGTTTGTTAATAGCCCATAAAGTAAGGAAGGGAGACTTAACTGACCCAGTTATTTAACATGCAGTTTAAGTCATTTTCCTGTTGTCACAACAAACTCATTATTGGATCTCAGCATATACACACTTCACTCGTATAAAGCAGATATACTGGACAGTAAAGGGTAAACTTTCCCTGTTCACAGTTAAGAGCATTGCCTTAATCTTTTATCTAGGCCTGCTTTTCAGTGGCACTTGATACAGGAGCTATACGAAACACTTCCTTGAATACATAAAGCCAGAGATTGAGTTACACATGATTGAAGATCTATGCCGCTAGTAAAACAAAAGCTCCTGTATTACCTGGCACATGCCTGCTAAATTATTGAAGTGTCTCTTCAAACTGAATATATTCACTGGATAATTAGTCAACGAAGAAAACGGTCTCTCTTTACAAAGCTAATGTTGACAGGCATGGTACCTTCTATGCACTGTAACAAAGAGTATTTGCAGAACTGATGCAACACAAACATTTGGAATGGCTCCGTCAGCATGCAAGTGGTCCTGCGGCACATGGTCCTCTTTGTGATACTGCCTCAGCCTTGTGTTACCTTACAAGCAAGTCCCGAACAGCCTGAATTCGTTTTTCCTCATGTAGCACTACCCCTGTTTCAGAAGCAGGTAAATGGTACAAATAAACAGAGGCTTGGTTTGCACTGGGGGGATGAAGGAGGTGTTTGCACGCCTGTCTCCAGCCCTGTGCTATGCCAGCCTGCACTGTGGTGGCAGGAGGGACCTCCCCGCATCACTGCCTCTTGTAATTCCTAAAGCCTGTAGCTGTGATATCCCCACCCACTCCAACGGCTGCATTCTCATGAGCTTGTTTCCTGCTGTGGATTCCTGGGAGCACAGGAATCCACGTGTACACAGAACATGTCACACCATGGAAATACCGGTTAGCGTCTGCCCACTGAAAGCATCTCAGCCAACCAGGTGATGTTGCTTTATTCTGACCTGGCAAGGGGAGAAGAGTAGCAGTTTCCATGCTTCAAATGGCTGTTCTATCGCTGAGAACAGTACAGTGGTCTCTGTACTGCTGGTATAAAAACCTAAGCTTATCTGGAAATAAGAATAGATGCCTTTCAGCTTTTTGTTTCAAACTATGCCTGTGCCCTGACACTAAGGGGACAGACAAGTTCTCTTAGGGACCCTTGACAGAATGGTGGCATTATATCATATTTACAGTTAAAGCTTTATTTTATTAACAAGATATAATGATTCTTATAGCACAGACTTTAGGATTAGAATGGCACACAATTTCTACAAGTAGAACCAATACAGTACAATACGTAAGTAACATAATGGAGAATTTGTAATACAATGACTTATAATTTCTTATCACCTGGACCCTCTGCAGATCAGGTCAGATCTTAATACATGGTTTCCTTTATCAATGTAACAGTCTAGACTCAAAGATCATATAAAAGAATATGAGTCACTCACTTGATCCTCAGAGGAAGCAGAAGATGGTGTAATGGAAGCACCCCTGGTCACAGGGCATCATGGTCTCAGTGTCCAGCAGCAGCTTGGGTCCAAGATGCCACTTAGGACCTGTAAGTGCTTGATTGTATAGACAGTGTGGTGTGTGCTGTTACGCTTCCCTGTTGTGTCCCCACCACGGGGCTGGCTGGGTGCCTGGGACCTTCAAGGCCAGTGAGGAAGGGAGGAATCGTCCTGGTGCCCGGGAGTCCTGAGGTGGGCAGGGAGGGGAAGAAGGAATCTGTTTGGTTTGTCTGCAGGGTTCACAGGACCTTCAGGGCCTGATAGTGAGTTAAAGGGAGTGAATGCATGACCCGCTCGGCTGCACAGGATGGCTGCTTGCCTTACAAAGTGCCTTTAGGCACACCAACCACATCCCTGGGGTCAGGAGCAGGGGGGGACTGGTCACATATGCCCCAAGGACAAAACAGCTAGCTACCTGGGGTAAATAAGCAATTTAAAACCACACTCAAATCTTGTAATCCAAGACTATTTCTCTCTTTCATTATCTTGTGCATTTCCCAGCCTTGAAAATGAAAACTGCATTTCAAACTTTAGGAAAAAAAATACACTTGTTTTTACACTGCATATCACTGAGCCTACCTGTTTTGGGGTTATTTTAGTGAAGTGTTTTTACTGGCTTTTTTCTTTCTTCCTGCAAGAAATCCAACTTAGACAAAAACATAGCACTGCTTACCAGCTTTAAACCTATAGTCTTCTATGACAGCAGTATGAAAATTAGTCAAAGGTACTAAGATTTGTCTTAGAGGGGAAAATTACTAGAGCTCTAATAGCCCATAGTCCGGTTCATACAGAACTGACTCAGTTCCACTCGCGCCTAATCTTTAATTCCTTAAATGTCTGTTCTCCAAACATGCTACCAACACGTTTAACTGCTACCGAGGGCCCGAAACCTCGGGCCACCACACAGATGTCTGCAGGGAAAGCTTTGGTTATGAAGCCATCAACACTGCCATCCCCTGGCACAACTGGAGCTTTACAGCAACAGCTTTAAATTGCACATGTGCGTACTGCAACTGCTGGGTAGAACATTTCACTAGGGAATTAATGTTATTCTCACTTTGTTCCATTCATTGGTTTGTGTTGCAGCAATAGATGATAATGCTCCATCCCTGGCAGCGTTCAAGGCCAGGTTGGACAACAGTTTGAGTGGAGCTTCCCACATACCCTTAACCCCAGCTCTATCCCAAATCCATTCTCCTCTGGAGAATGACTCTAACGTGCTTTCCCAGCTGAGGAGCTAGGCTGGAGTACTCACCAAGCCAGCTATTGCATTCCATCTGACAGATGGTAAATTAAGATACTCTGCCTGCCTGGCTGCCATCGTGCAAACATGTCTGGCTTTCATCTGTGGAAGGCTTTAGCAGACAAGCTTTTTGTCAATTGCTTCATTTTCTGAAATACACTTTATTAAACCACTATGCAAGACTACAGACAGGTGATACAGCAAGAGAAAGGTTAAGAGAGCTGGAAATCTTTATGAAATTTCCCCATTTGGGGGCTTAGCTGAGTTCTTTATGCCAAAGATTATTTTTCTGCAATAAAACCACAAACATTGACAGCACTTTCCAAAAACTAATAAAGTTGTTCTATAACTCCAGCATTCCTATGGTTAGCTCTGGATATATGTTGAAATCTTACAGTCTTCATTCTTTTCATTGTTTTGGACAGGTAAGTGCCATAGAATAGCAAGTTAATACATTTCCAGATCATGCACTAACACTTATTTGTGTGTAAGCTCTCACTGTGCTTGAAGGGATAGAGCTGCGTGTACTTTTACACGAGAATCTTGCAGTAAGTCCAGGGAAGAAAAGTTACCAATGCACTCTCTTAACTTGGGTAAGAAAACAAAAAGTTTGACTCTGTCCTCCCCATTGAATAGATCTAATGTGCTATGGTTGGATGCCAGGTGCCCACCAAGCCACTCTATCATCCCCCTCCTCAGCAGGACAAGGAGAGAGAAAGTAAGATGGAAACATAATTGTGGCTAAAGACAAAGGCAGTTTAATAAAGCAAAAGAAAACAAAAGGTTTTATGCTTTACTTCCCATCAGCAGGCGATGTGTGACCACTTCCTGGGAAGCAGGGCTGCAGCACACATAGCAGTTGCTCCGGAAGACAAACATCGTAAATAATGAATGCTCCCCCTTCCTCCTCCATCCTCTTAGCTTTTATTGCGGAGCAGATGTCCTATGGTGTAGAATATCCCTTTGGCTGGTTGGGGTCAGCTCTCCTGGCTCTGTCCACCCCCAGCTTGCTCATGGGGGGGAATGCTGGAGCAGTGCTCAGCGATGGCCAAACCACTGCTGTGTTATCAACACCCTGCCTCCTACCAATTCACAGCATAGCACTGAGGGCTGCAATGGGAAACATCAACTCCACCTCAGCCAGACCCAATATACGTGCACAGCATTGTAATGGAAAACACGCTCCTTCTGAAATTAGTCTGAATAACTCTAAAACATGACTGATAAAAAAAAAAAAACAAAAAAAAAACACACATCGATTCCAACAGCAGAGTAAGTACTCAGCTCATTCATATAGAACTGTATTGCCAAACAAGAGACTTACCCAGTGCTCGCTTCATCATGAAAATAAACCTTGGCCAGACTTAATATCCGCTTCAGTAGGAGCGACTCCATTGGATCCAGCAGACATGTACTTGCTGAACTAGAGTGAATCTGTTTTCTAATCACTCATTCACACTGTTAAGTGTGTAAACAAAAGAAACACCAGGATTTCTTTTAAACAAGAAGCAGGTCCTACATCCCATCCTTCCCTGTTTACACCAGTGGGAGTTCTGCACCCAGGAGATGACTATGATTTTAATTTTTGCCATCAATGATCTTCACTTCATCTACAGCCTGCAATTGCTTGGTGCCATTTGACTGGGAAGTCTGGAAGAATGCGCTAACAAGCAAAGGTTAGTGCTAACGATCACAACCTTTAAAAAAAAGATCACCTAAAAGATGATCAAACCCAAATGAAACATTTGCACAAATGACCAGCTATTGGTATAACTGCTGGGAACTCTTTCCCATCTTAAAGAAAACAAATAGCATATTAATGTGAAATCTAAAACCACATAAACCATAGAATTAGCAAGAAAATAAACATCTTGAGAAATAAACCCCAGAAAGCAGCATCCTTAAACGACAGCAAAGTGTGTTTCATGGACTCTCCTCAACTATACAACTGTGCCAAACAAAAATACACACCCAGCAACAACTGATGGAACACTTTAGAGAGAAGAGTCTTAAGTTAAAGGACCAGGTGGCTCCGGAGTTTGAAGACAGTACGATTCATTTCTACTAAAGACGAATTGTTAGGTGTTTGGCTGTTGAGATAGCAAGGAACTTGATTCATTCTTATAAAACAAAAGGCCTTTCATACCAGTCTTCTTCATTCTTTGATGCCAAACCAGGAATCATTCATAATGAAACAGCAACTGGAAAATGCATTAGATTTCCAGCTTGACCAGTGGAAGAAAAGTACTTTCAGAAAACGTATCTGAATTACAGTGAAAAGACAAGAAGCTGCTTTTAGAAGTGAAGCACACCACCTCCCCCGCGTTAATGTAACAGAACTTCAGAGTAAAAAAGCATTTAGTAAAAATTTTATTTGAAATGTAGCATGAACCCATAACCATGTGTTACAACATACAGTTTTACAGAGAATTTATTGTACAATATGACAGGTATTTCTATACATGCGCTCCCCCTGCTTTTATTTAGTCATTATATCAAATGAACAATAGTTAAAACAGGAATAACAAGCATTCACTTCTAAAAAGAAAACTTTGGCATGTATACAACTGGCTAGGTAGAAGTAAACAGTGGTAGATTCAAGTCAGAAAAAGACCCTCTCATTTTGTTTCACAGCATTTTTGATCATATGAAACTTACCAGCACTATTTTCTATTTAATACAAAAACGAGTACTTTTATTCAGTCCAGAGCCCCCTGTTAAGGGATGAAAACGTTTAAGCCTAAAAGGTGTCAGTTTTAAAGCAGTTTAGGCCACACGTATTTTGCACACATCGGTTTGGTCATGAACAAAACAAAACCTTTAATGGTTTGCTCACATTACTGAGCTATTATATACCACTTGGCACAACTGGCAATTTCTCCTTTGAACTACCATGAGTATCATTGGCTCAGAAGTCATGTCCACTGCTGGAGTGCAGGAAAAAAAAAATGAAGTAAAACTTGCACTGTGCCCATCTTCTGTCTTGAGTTTCTGTCACTGTTGTTGGCCACTCACATACCTACCTAATTTATCAAAAAAATGAGGGAAAACAATTTGCAAGGCATTTCTTTCCAGCACACAGCAGACAATACTTCCACTTTAAAAACCAGAAAGCAAAGAAAAACCCCCTGAATAATAACAAGCCTCCTTTGAGAAGAATTACTTGCAATTCTTTGAGTACTTACAAAAAAATACAGTATTTATACAACTTCTGCAGAACTGTATATTTCAATGCAGTACTTATAAAATAAATCCATAGATACAAATGGTTGCACTTCTAAGCAGGAATATCTAACCCGGATTTAGGTTTTGTTGCAATTTCATTATTGCTGTGGAACAGACAGTGGTTCTATACACACTGGCATATCTAATCTGAAAAATGCTCTCCAGCATGTCAGAACACATTTAATGTAATTTTTACAGTTCCTGCTAAATGTTAGCGATTCCAAATTGACTGAACTGTGGTGCAATAGGGCACAAATGGCAGAAGAGCAGTGGCGTAGAGGCAGGAATGGCAGCGTAACAGTAGAGCAACACCAGTCAGACTCATACTCACTACTTCTTATTCCTCGGCTTTAACTCTTCTGCTGCATTTCGCAGAAAAATGTAGTTTTTCTTTTGTGGATTATAAAATTCATGACCCTAAAAAGAAGAAGAATCTGTATTTACTCTCTTCAAAGAAGAAATATCAGCATTACCTTAAAATGTTAAGTATATGAATAGCCCATTAGTTTGGTTTATTCAGATTTAATCTTGAAGTCTTTAAGACCAGATATTGGTTGGTGTATTAGAAGCAACTTACTGTAACAGTTACAAGAATTGTACATATGAAGTAAAATTTAAGGGATATTTATCCATCTTTAAGGTATTAAAACCCCCACCTTTTCATATTAAAATAGCCACGTATCTCTAAGCTCTACTTTATAGCTGCAACACAAGAGCTCAATATTATTTTTTAATGTCTTCTAGGCAGAGAAGAAACTAAAACTTTAAGAGCCACCCTATTTCACTTGAATTTTTCTATCTTTTAAACAAACTAAGGTCAGGTTTTTTCCCCAAAGTGAAGCCCAAGTTCTACAGGCAACTGCAAAAACATCTGTTCCCCAATTGCGGATGCAAATATCCTATTTTGCATGTTGACATTATTTGCATAAACATTACTCAATACGCATGTATCCAAATCAGGGAGAGCAAACACTAATAAAGCTATTAAAATCCAACACACAATTTTAAAATTACCAACTCTACTTGGCAGAAATGTTTGGTACTTTGTACTTACTAATTTTACTACTTAATATTGATTTACAGATCTGAGAGATGCCTTGGTACATTCTACCAAGCACTTAGAACAGAATTCACCTGCTCTAGCATCTAACAAAGCTCTGCTACTTTGGGCAACATCCAGAAGACCAGATACAATGCAGTAAATGAAAAGTTTGCTCTCTGTGTGGCATGGAGTAGAGCTCATCTCTGCGTTCATGTCAAAAACATAAGGGATATTATCCTCAAATTTAAAAGCACTGGTTGTAAGAGGAAAGTAACGCTCTTAATGGAAGTCGCCATTCAATTCAAATCAGTTACGTTTCAACATTGCTACTCCCACTTTAACTATTAAGAAACACTGATTTTCCATGCATTATGGTTTGTTCTGATTCTCTTGCATCTATATGATTTATTGTTGAGTCAAGCGCATAACCGCCACCAGCAAGCCACACTGAGCAGTACTGGAAATACAGTATATGCCATCCAAAAACTGGCTTAAGTGTTTACGACCACAGTCACAGCTTCTTTTTGAAGTTAAACAGAATCTGCACAAGCAGCAAAGATGTGCATTTCAAAGTGATTTGTGGGAACCTGCTGGGTGCCACAGTGCCCCATGACACTCCCCACTGCAGAATGTATGTGAGCAACCGGAATAACTTTTGCATCCTGTAATTTACTTTTCACTCATCTACATTTGCAAAACAGCACTGTTTAGCAATCTTGTCTGACTGAAGCTATCACCCAAGGAATGCACTGCTGTGTTAGATTTCATTAGATGTCTAAAATGACCGTTGTACATTTTCTTGTATGCTTGTGAAACTAGACTCAGCTACTATTTAAGGACAGTGAAAGCCCCATGTGAAAAGGATAGTCTTAGCTGTCAACTGCAAGTATGGAATGCAAACCTAAACTTTACTTACCTTTGACCAATCATAACTGGAAGCATATGCAAATATATTGCCATTATGGTTGAAGCAACAAGCAGATATTGGCTGGTCAAGTTGTTCTGATGTTTTTAGCTTTGTTCGCGCATCTTTATCCCAAAAGCTGAATCTACCATCGGATCCTACTGTTGCAAGAGTGCCATGGACAGGGTGAAATGCTATCCCATTTACCTGCAGAAGCAAAGAATTACTATGTAAAACACCATGCCTATGGACAGGTGATGGGAACACTCAACAGACATGCTGCATCCTAAAAAAGTAAATACACAGGGGTTTTTCCAACTATAGGTTTTGTTGGGATTTCGGGGTTTTTTTTTTGGCTTTTGTTTTTTTCACATTTTCAAATAGGTTCTGGGAAAGCAAACAAACAAAAAACACCAAAGCAATGAGGAAAGCATTACCTTTTTTGCAGCACTTAAAAATACAATGCATAATCCTATTACACAAATATATTAAGTACTGTTTCAAGTTAACAAGCGTCAAGTCCAACAAGATAACTGACGAACAGCTGACGTGGTACTTGCTTTAAGTGCAAAAATTTGTCTTTCCCCTTAAAGTATGACTGGTCTTTAAACATACATCTAAGATAACTTCAGATGAGGTAAAAGATCAAGGAGAATAAATAGTTCACAGCCAATTTTACATTAAGAGTGCATACTGCCCTGTAAAAATTATAAAGGAGTACACGCCGAATACTTACAGCATAAATATCCTGAGGTGCTGATGTGTTTGTTCCATTGGAGCGATGACATTTAAAAGTGAAGTTGTCTTTTGCACTGGGAAGGAAATAATAATAATTTAAAAAAAGCTCTTTTTATCCTCACTGTAAGCTGAGCAATAAAGAACAGATGTTTTTTAAATGATACTTACGGATTTGGGGGGTTGATATAATGAATAGCTACTCTTCCTTCAATACTTCCAAGGGCAAATCCAGTAGGTTTGTTCACTTTGTCTTTAAAAATAGCAACACAGCGATGCTAAATTTGAGAAAGAAAGAGGATTTTAGACAGAGACTTGAG